GGTATAGGTCCCTTATGGATTCCTCTTGAATTGAATTTATGTTGAACTTCATTTCTTCTTCTTTCTGTTCATTTTCTACTTGGTTTTCTTCGTGTTCTTTCTTCCTTCTAGTTTGGGTGTTGAACGTGTAGGGAAACCCCATTTGTGAAATTATTAATCGGTGGTCAGGGTCACATTCGGCTCCTCTCTTTACTCGTGTATCTCTAATTTTGATAGTACCACTTTTGCTGACAATTATGTAATCGATAATGGATCTGATGTTTCTCGTTGTTTATACATACGTGTATTTATGTATGTCCTTATGTCTAAAAAAGCCGTTAGTAATTTTAAGATTGTTCAGTTCGCACAGGTTAATTAGTCTTTCTCAATTATCGTCTGTCACAACTTCTCCAAAACGGCCTATCGTGCTATCATTTTGTCGTTTCCCTGTTCTTCCATTTAGGTCCCCTGCTATTATTATTTCTTGTGTTGGTCTCACTTTTCCGACCTCTTTTCGTAAGGTATCCATGAACTGATCCTTTTCTGCTACCAGACTGTTATCGGTAGGGCCCTATACTCCCAGTATCACGATTTGCCTGCCATAGATTTCCATGATGAGTTTTACTATTCGTTCATTTATGGGTTCCCATGTTTTTATTGTTTTTACCCATTTCGGCAGCTGCTCTTTCTTCCTTCTGTGTCCCGCTCCAACAGTAGAAGATGGCATCTACAAATTGTGTACCATTTCCCTTTTTCTTGGTCTCAGTTGTTACCAAAATATCAAGGTTCATCCTCTTGAATTCCTCTATCACCTCTTTGTCCTTAGTTCACCATCCTTGAATGTTCCAGGTGCTACACGTGATTTCCCTCTTTCTCTGCTTCTCTTTTCGACGTAGTCTGAAATTTAAGACTGGGCTTCTCTTCTCTCTTCTCTCTCTCAAAACCCCCAATTTGGAGGACCTTTACTTTCAGCCGCCCATTCTCGATCCGACCCGCCCACTCTGGATCAGACGCTGCTTAATTCTATCCTCCTCAATCCTTTAGCCCTTGTCAGGGCGTAGTGACACCCTAAATATTATAAGTCTGCTGTCTCCATTGACTGCGATCTTGTGCCATATGGACGGCTTCATGTAAGGATTTTCCCACCAAACTCTTCATTTGGTCCACCCATCGTATTGGAGATCTTCTTCTTGGTCTTCGGCCTTCTACCTTACCTTCTACTACCAATAGTTCCATGGTGCCTGTTCTTCTAGCTATGTGGCCGAAGTAAGTTAGGTATGCTTGGTTTACTTTTTTTAGTAGCCTGTCTTTTATATGAAGCTCTTCCAGAATTGACAGGTTGGTTCTATGTTCTGTCCAGGACACGCGTAGAATTCTTCTATATACCCACATTTCGAAGGCTTCGATCTTACTCCTATCGATTTTTTTGAGAGTCCATGTTTCAGCAGCATATGTAGCAATGGGAAAAATAAGGGCATTGACCAACCTAAGCTTAGTATTCCTTGTTATTGTTCGGTCTTTCCATATTTTAATTAATTTAGCAGTTGCGGTTCGGGCCATTCCTAGTCTACGTTTGATTTCTGAGAGAACAATCACCATTGTTGGTTATCAGAGAGCCCAAGTATACAAATCTGTCGACTACTTCGAATTAACGCTTAATTCTATACAAACCCTAAAATCCGGGGTCGCCACTTCCGCCATCCTAGACGTACCGAAGGTCTCCCTCTCCGCAGTGACTGCCGTTGTGGTCTTCTTTTCGACGTATCAAGTCCTTATCGGCTTCGTCCATACATTTGGTAGAACTGGAATCTTTACGTTTTTTTTTTTGTTTCTATGGGATTTGATGTAATTATTTTTATATAAATATATATAATAACGGATTGCTTACGGCTGTCGCCGCTTCTCCGCCCCCAATTTCCGTCTTTTTCTGTCATATGCAGTTGCCTCTTCTAAGTCTCTTGCCGCCATTGCTTTATTAATATCGTTGCGCCAACTTCTCCGTGGTCGTCCTCTCTTTTTTCTTTCTGAAGGGATCCATTCCAGTACTCTTCTAGGCCATCTATACTCTGGCATTCTTTTAACATGTAATTCTTTTTACTGTGCTCAAAGGTATTTTCGTCAAATTGCATATTTCAAGCCCTCTTTTAAGTAAGGTACTGTATATAGTTTTTACAATTTGCTCTGCATTTACAGATAAATGTTTCTTCTTTATCGGAGCACTAGAAAAAGCCCCATTATGATTATCCCACGGACGTCACATAGTGATAGAAAACATAATGAATAAAATGAGTGATATTACTTCTGCCGAAGGCAGAACTCATGGTTCAAGAATCTACGTGATTGGTATCAATGCAGATCGATTGATTTGTTTAGAGAAGCAAGTTCAAAAATAAAAATATCCGTTATGATTGCCAACCTCTGTAGTAATACAGAATGCAGAAAGACAAACAAATTTTATCGACAACTCGTACTTAAATACTGGTTGGTGTTCAGTTCCATAAACTTATTATATAAATACCTTCTTCTTCTTCTTAAGGTGCCCTGCATTTCTGCGTAGGCGTCCACCGTACATTGTCTTGTCAGGGGAGATGTTAAATAGTTAAGATTAAATAATTCTGTTTTTTAGCAGCATTGCGAAGCGTTTCATAGCTGTGGATTCCTGTCCATTGTCGAATATTGCGCAGCCCTGACATTTTTTTACGTCCCAGACCTCTCCTACCCTCTATCTTCCCTTCGAGTATCAGTTGCTGAAAAGTGTATCTTTCTCCTCGTAATATGTGCCCCAAGAAATCAGTCTTCTTACTTTTTACATAACTCTGAGTACCGCTCTTCTGAGTACTTCCTCATTTCTGACCCTGCCCGTCCATGATATTCTAAGCATTCGACGCAGGCACCACATTTCAAACACTTCAAGTTTGTTAATGGAACTGGCTTTTAACGTTCATGCTTCCATTCCGTACAAGAGAACAGGCCACACATATAAATACCTGAAAACCACTTAAAAGGTGATTAGGTAGTGCGCAAACCCATCGCGCACTACCATCGAATTCGAAAAACCCTCTTATCAGTACAGTTTGGTCTATATAAGCCTCATATGTATTAATGAAATTATAATGAGTTTGGATTGTATGCAATTAAATCAACAATAAGAAATGAAGATTGACAAGTTTTACAAGGAAACATATTTGAATTTTACCTGAAACCGGCCTTTTATACTATTATCGGTTAATCCAGGATGTTTATAGTCGGTACTAAGTCAACCATTTACTGCTAAACAAACTTTAGATGCTTTTATCAGCTCAGCATATGAAAACAATGATAATCGTCTAAAATTTGCAGAAAAACGAATTCTTAGAGAGAAGAATACATGGATCGGTTAGGTATCACCACACAGCAATATAGAATGAGAATTAAATATAATTATTTTTTGTAATTTTTCGTTTATTTAAACTCGATAGAAATACGTTGCCGTGTGCCCATCACAAGTAATTTAGGGTTTGTTCCTTAAATTTGATACCTAAGTTGTTCCATTCTTGTTTTTAAAAATATCTTCGAGTACTCTGTTAGACACTTTTTGGGATACGATATCTTCCTGTTTAATCTCCGACGTATTTTCACCATCATCATCATCTTTGGCTCGACAATCCTCTGTGGATCTTGGTCTGCTCTAAGATTCGTCGCCATTCTGTTCGGTTTCTGACAACATGTTGCCCCATATTCTGATTTTTAATATCCGTAAGTCGGTTTCAACTCCATCTAACCACCTAATTCGCGGTCGGCCTTTGCTTCTTCTTCCTACAGGTGTTCCTGTGGTTAGCTTTTTAGCAATCGTATTTTCTGGTATTCGTATTATGTGTCCATCTAAGTCGCTGTGTTTTAATGAAGGTTATGACATCTGGCTCATCAAAGAGCTAATACAATTTAAAATTATATCTTCTGCGCCACTGCCCTTGATCGTTTATAGCTCCAAATATTTTGCGGAGTATTTTACCCTCAAATATTCCCAAAAGTCTTTCATCTTTCTGCGTTAGAGTCCATGTTTCTGTTCCATATGTGAGGACCGGCCTCAGCAATGTTTTGTATATAATAATTTTAGTTCTTCTTTGAATGTTTCTTGAGTGGAAATGCTTTTGGAGTCCATAGTATGCCCTATTTGTAAGATTTATTCGTCTTTTGATTTCTTCGCTTGTTTTATTGGTAGCAGTCAATAGCGACCCAAGGTATGTGAAGTTGTCAACACCTCCAAAGGTATGACTTCCAAAGATTGTTTCTCGTTCCTCATTTGCTATCGGATCCTTTGTAACCAACATGTACTTGGTTTTGTCTTCGTTGATGACTAGACCGACCTGTTTCGCCGCTGTTTCCAATTCTAGGAGATATTGCTCAACATCTCGCTTGCTACGCCCTATTATGTCAATGTCATCAGCATATGCTAAGACTTGTATTGATCTATTGTAAATAGTACCGCCATCCCTAATTCGTGTATCTCGGACTGCCTTTTCTAAGGCAATATTAAATAGGAGGCAAGCCAGAGCATCCCCTTGTCTGAGTCGATATTTTATCTCAAAGGAATCCGACGTATTTTAATAGGTTCAATTTTGAAAGGTTAGTATATTGTTATTGCTGACTCTCTCTCTCTCTCTCAGTATTAGTAACAAAAGACTGCTACAGTCTGTTGATGTGTTTGTTGCACATTGTTTTTTATTTAGTAAGATGAGGACCACTTCTTTGATTTTTTTCTTTCTGCTGTCTATTTCTTTCATAACTGTTGGGTTTAAAACTAATGAATAGGTTTAAAAATAAAGACAGCCATGTGCTCACATAAAGAAAAACACGAAGAAAAAATAAGTGTGTATAAAAGGAAGAGCGAGAGAGAGAGAGAGAGAGAGAGAGAGAGAGAGAGAGAGAGAGTGTGTTATATACTTCAATTACGTATACCAAACTGTATATTAAAAGTGTTGGCTAATAAGTAACTAAATTTCTGTCGAACACATAGAAACCAATCAAGACTTATCACATACCTTAGATATGTAAAGGTTCTCATAGTGTCCTGGTTGTAGACAGCCTCCTTGTAGCTCTACTGAAGATATGTCTAGAAATAATAATTCCTGGAAAATATTATTTTGTTTTCAGACTTAATATATTATTCACGTTAAATATGTTACTCCCATACAAATTTTTACGAGTTCAAACCAAGTATTTCTGGCTTAAAAAAAATTTTTATGATTAACTAAACAACTTCATAAAGTGATTGATTAGTGATTTCTAAGGGCTTAAAAGATTGGTGAAAATGACGCTGCACGATCTCGGGTAGTCAAAGTACAGGATTCATATATAAAAAAAAGATACAGATTGTTACATTCAGGCCTGTAGCTCACATTCATTTTTGACACGTACCTAACCAATTAAATTTTTTATTCAATTTTAATATGAAATTTAAATATTAATATTTATTGCTAAATGAAGTGGACTAGATTGCATGTATACATTTTAGATTTGGCAACGCTGTGTCGGTAATACACATTTGATTTTATCTCTTACATAAACAATAAATTGTGCAGTAAACAAAGTTTAAAATTAAAAGAATGTATGTAGAACAATTTTAAAGGTTAACTACTGACATGAAAATAAAAACAACAATAAAATATAAGTTTTCTAAAAAATAAGCCAAAAAATGGTAAGTCATAAAATCACAAATAGGTTAGCTGATAACGCCGATATATCATTCGGCTAGAACTCCGGAGGAATTGTAAAGTTCTGTTGCCGGCCTTATAAAATATACCGGGAAGAGAGGAATATAGAAAATATTCAAAAATTTGAAAATTGGAAAAAATAATTTAAAATAATATTTGAAAATTTTTTAGACATCTACCTGAACCTAAAAGTAAGTGAAAATGTGCATAAAATACACATGTGTCTACAGACACTGATATAGAAATAACAAATGGCAACGAGAGAATATTTCTAAATATTACTGCAACGACAGAAGCAAGAAAAATTCAAAAAGGATTTATAGGGCGGGACAAAATAACTGAGAAAATGGTAAAGACACGTACAAAAAACAAATATACAAGAAGGAGGAGTAAATATATAATCACTAAGCAAACAAAAAAAAGGACAGCCCAACAGAGAAAGAGGACATCAAAGCAAAATAAAAATTTAAAGAAAACAAAGCTCCCGGAGCAGATGTCATTTCTTCTGAGCTTTTAAAACACGGCGCAAAACATCTGACCTGCTACATAAGTAAGCTAGTAGAAGATCAAACAATTTGTGATAATTGCAGAGGAATTGCTTTCCTAAACGTGACATACAAAATATTGACCTGAATTCCTTACGATCGAGGATATTATGAACACATAATAGGCAAATACCAGTGTGAGTTTTACAAAGAAAAATCAACTATCCATTAAATATTCCTTCCAAGACAAACTTTGGAAAGAACATATGAGTATGGAATTGATACTCATCATTTGTTTGTGGATTTTAGATATGCCTATGACAGTGACAGAAGCTCACTATACAAAACCATGGTGGAATTCAATAGCCCAATACGCTTAGTGAAGTTGGTGAAAGCAACCCTCTCAACAGTCGATTTTAAAGTTAGAATGCAGAACGGAGTATCAAGAATTCTACAGACACAAATAGGACTTCGACAGAGGGATAGCCTATCGTGTCTTCTTTCAAAATTGCCCTAGAGAATGTCTATTAGAGAATCTGGAATAACAACAAAAGGAAACATTATTAATAGTACAGTGTACAAATTCTAGCGTACGCGGATGACAACGATATCATAGCAAGAAGAAAAGCGGACCTAGTAAAATAGCAATAGACCATTGGAAACAGCAGCAAAAAGAATGGGGCTCCACATTAATACTAGTAAACCTTAGTATATGAAGGTGACAGATAATAAGCAAATAGGAAAACCCAAAGATCTAACGGTTGGTACAAATACTTTCGAAGAAGTAAGAGAATTCATATATCTAGGCTCAAAAATCAACAAAAGTAATATAGTAACTACAGAAATTAACACACATATATATTTAGCAAATAGAGCATTCTATGGATTAAAGAAACTTTAAGTCTATATCTATATCGCAAAAAGCGATGAAGGACGTTTAGGCTGTTTTGAACGTAAAATCTTATACGTCATATTTATAAAGGTGTGCAAGAAAATGGACTATGGCGTAGGTGCTATTATTTTCAGCTGAAGCGCCTTTATAGTAAACCTAGTATTGGTAGGTCCATCAAAATAAACAGTATGCGGTGGCTAGACCATTTAGAGAGAATTAAAAAGATGAAGCCTTCGAAACGCATTTATAACCAACCAGGTGGAGTGAGAAGAAGAAGCAGGTTCAGAGCACGATTTAAGGACCAGGAGAAGACGAGTTACGAATGTTAAGAATACGAAGTTGTAAAACCAAGGTGAATGATAGGAAGGAATGAAAGCTGATCCTAGAACAAGCCAAGACTTACTATGGGTATGAAATCAAAATGACATATGACATAACTGGCATAGAAACAAAAAAAAGATCACCACAGAAAGTTGCAAACCGGGAAAACGACAGTAAGAGAAATAGTAAAAACAAAAGTAGCCACTTGAAACATCAAAACGATGCTAACAATAGGAGAAATGGAGAAAGTAGCAAAATAGATGCGAAGTTATTGTAGATCTCATAATATCACAAGAAATACGATGGAAGACTCAGGTGAAGTAAAAAAACCGAGCAGAAAAGGCATTTAAGAAAATAAGAATCCAAAAAAATCAATATAAGTACAGAAAATGTACTTCTTGAACTCAAAGCCAAAATAAAATCCCAGGGAGAAATATCAGAGAAATTTAAAATTAATAATATGTTAAGACAGGAAGACCCAATATCTCCAAACTTTTTCATTCTCATGTCTCATTAGAATAGGTTTTAAGTGGAAAATTAAAAGAACATAATATGTATTGAACGAAACTCAAACAATTCCTTATGCAGATATCCTAACAATTCCAGGTTAATAAATTCCTTTAAGAATACTGGATTGACGCCTGCATTACGGCAGCCACCACGAGAACTATGGGATCAATTAACCACGTGGCTATGCGATTCCCGTAGTTTAAATTAACATTGTTATAATTTTGTAACTGTGCCTAACTTTCCACAAAACTTTTGTTATGAATTCAATTTTATGGGGGTTTAACAAAATATGGAATTTCAAAAATTTATAACAGAAGCTTTTCATTTGCAAATTAGATCCAACGAATTAATTTTTTTTAACTCTGTCGGGGGTAATTGCGGGGTGGATTGAGTAGCCCTGCGGTTGCTACAGCCGGTTCTAAGCCCGGATAAAATGTGGAGGGTGATTGGCAAGGTCAGCAACCTACCAATCCTAAAAAACGAATACTGATCAAAGAAGGAATGTACAGCCTCATTGATACTATGAAGAGGACCACTGCAAAAAGTAATGACAAACGAAAAATATCCAAAACCCTGATGAGAATTACTATATGGAAAATCAGATCGCTTAACTCAAAGAACCAAGAAATAACCTAATGCTGTAAAAGAAATAAATAGGCATTTGTGCTCTACAGGAAACAAAAAAAAGGACAATCAAAATTAGGTGAACACATACTAATCTATAGTAGAGTATCAAAAGAAAACAGAGTCAAAGAAGGTGTAGCTTTACTAATACACATAACATCACAAAAAAGCAATTTAACGAAATGCTTCGAGTAAAATTTTGTTCGAGTATTTTCAGTAATTCGATAGGAACTTCATCAGGCCCGGGAGATTTACCCCCTTTAGCTTGTTTCATTGCATATTCAATTTCTTCGTATAATGTCAGGCCCAGGTGTTTTCTTTTGATTTTAATTTGGTTTGTACTGTGACTACTATGGGGTTGTGGTCTGAACCGATGTCTGCTCCATGGTAAGTTTTGGCAGACAGTATAGAATTACGAAATCTTTGTCTAATGAGGACAAAGTCAATTTGATTTCGGATTATTCTATTCGTTGTATTACCGGGAGATTTCCATGTATACAATCTTCTTTTTAGTAGCTTAAAAAATGTATTAGCTATTACAAATTCTTCCGTCTGGCAAAATTGTGTCAAACGGTCATCACGTTCATTTCTATTTCCTAGACCATATTCCCCCACATATCTATCCACTCTTACCTGGCCAACTTTGGCCTTGAAGTTGCCCATTACTATTGTAGTGTGATGTTTCTTCATTCATTTTAAGACTTGTTTCAAATCATGGTAAAATAGTTCGATATCGTCGTCATCTATATCTGCCGTAGGAGCATAAACTTGAATAAAATTTACCAAGATCTTTTTTAAACTGAAGTTGTATTGATAAGATCCTATCAAAATAAGGAGTAAAACTTCTCACAGAGTAATTGACCTTTTTTGCAACTAAGATAGCAACACCATAGCGATGATTGACCTCGTTGTTACCTGAATATTACATGGTTCCATTATTTGTAATTTGTTTGCCTGAACCTGGCCACTGTACGTCACTTATACCGAAAACTTCAATTTTTAGATTTTCCATTTCAAGCAGCACGTTCGCTAATTTACCACTTGCGTATAGACTTCTGACATTCCAGGTTGCTATTTTCAATGTCTTCAGTGCACAGGGATTTCTCTGGTTTACGACCTGGGAGGCCCTGTGATCTACAGTTATTCCTCCCCTGCCGGATCTTGGATTCCGTGCTCCATAATCAGTAAGTTTGTTTATTCTACTTGTCACTTGCCATTAATGAGTTTACTAGGAGTACTCTATGAGTCTTTAATGCAGTGGTTCTCCGTTGCCTTCTGCATCCTTACGCCGTGAACCAAAAACACATTACGTGAAAATATATATATATATTTTTTTTTGAACCTATTCTCTATCCTTCCATTGTTGGATATAGGTCTCCCCCAGTTCTCTCCATCTTTCCCTATCTTGAGCTGTTCTCTGCCATGTATGACCTCCTTGTTTCCTGATGTCATCTTTCCACCTCATCTGTGGTCTGCCTCTTGATCTCTTTGCATTGTATGGACGCCACTTTCCAAAGGCATTGTTCCATCGTCCGTCTTGGAGACGTTCATTGTGTCCAGCCCATTT